AAAGTAGTTCTAAGCAGGGTAGTAGCTTTTTTGCATCAACGGTGAAGTGCATAAGTAGGCAATGTCCAAAATTCACATGAGTGAGAGTAAGAGAGATGGTGATGGATATAGAGCAGCAGCCTGCAACGATTGACGAGGACGTCCACATCAACGTGTGTCTGTCAGCGGCACTTGAACTTTTATCCCGATTTTCCTTCTGAAACTGCAACCTACTAGTACAAGCCAACAGTGCTCTTCTTCTCTGCCGATGAGGGGCAGACCCTGGTTGATGTCTCCCAGTTGACATGTTCAAAAAACAATCCAGTAGCAGGTGTGTGTAGTGTTGGAACGAACCACCCGATGAACCGGAGTGAATGCAGATCGAGCGACCAAATTTAGTTGGTGTGGAACCTACAACTAGGCTGCCAAACCAGTAGTACACGTATGTGCGTGTTGTGATATGAAAACATCCTCCCGGAGATTGAGACAGGTCGAGCTCAAACATGTGAACCGAGAAGAAGCATGTTTCAGTTCATAGGATGAGCTCAACCCTCTCTCAATTAACATGTTAAACACAGGGGAAAATCCAGGGCGACGATGCAGAGGCCGAGCTCCCTGAGGTTGGGGAGGTGGCGGAGCACGGGATGGCGACTATGTTCGGGAGCGTCCAGGCGCTGAGGAAGAAGTGGGTGAGGCGCCTAGCAGAAGAGCATGACCGTCAGTGCACGTTGGAGAACAAGAGAGGGCGGCGATGGGAGTCCTCGACGGAGAAGCACTTGGGCAGGCTGCGTTGGTGAAGAGTGGAGGCTGTGCACGCCTGTGCAGTCGCCGGAGTTGAGGAATCGGGTGGGACGGGGTTGGAAGCTCAGCCGACGGCGTCAGCCCCTGGGCATCCACTTCCTAGGAGCAAGCGATGCTGGTGCGGGGGTCGACGAAGCTGGGAGGACCGGCGCGAGGCAGGCGGTGGTGGTGTGCAGTGGTGTGACGATGGTGGCCGATAGAGAGCCGGCGGCGCGCGTGAGGTAGTGCAGCGGCGGCGCGAGGTATGTGATGTAAGGTCGGGAGGTTGAGGAAGGGCCCCGCTTTTCTCAGGTGCGGGGACGACCCCGTCCTGCGGGACGAGGATGCAAACGAGCTTCACCAGACAAAGAAAAAATGTGCCGTGCGATGCGGATCGAACGCCAAAGAAACCGTGTGGTAGTTTTGCAATCGGGCACAGGGTTGCCAAATACATATTTCGTATTATTAATGTAGGATGACGGACCGACGGGGTGTCATTTGAATGCAGAGCAGACGCCTGCATAGGGAAGCAACATGGTGTCGCTCTCTCAGCTGGCGCGCCGCTTCAATACCAACAGTAGTGAGAGGTCGCGTCCACTTTGACCGGGATGAATGCGACACCGACGCTCTGCAGCGGTGTTGATTGTTTCG